TACAAGTAAAATTAAGAATAACAGCCTTTGAAAGCCTAGTCAACAAAAGTACAGTGATGATATAGTAATAATAGAATGTTCTTGAAAACTATAGGCATTACAGATATCTGCCTGAGGCCATGTGAAACAGGTGTCTTGCAGTGATTTCACGCATTGTATATGTGTCACTATCCTAGAAAGTGGAATTAAGAATTCTTAGGAAACTAAAAATCTCCAAAAATACCTATTCCTAACAATCCTTTTTAATCCAAGTAAATAATTAGTAATTGCTCAAAGTTTTAGGAAAACAATATCTATTGCTTGTTTGTTCATCAGAACTAAAAAAAAATTTTGTTTTAAGTCAATAATATATGGTCTGTCAGAGAACTCTCATTGTCTATTAGTGAAGCTCAGATATAGTTTAAGAATCACTGAATTAGAGGATTGTAATTCTTTTTATTTTTTTTCTTTTGTCTTTTTCTTTTGTCTTTTTGAGACAGAATTTTACTACATACTTCAGGCTGGCCTTGAACTCCCTTCGTAGCCCAGGCTGGCCATGAACTCACTGTGAACTCCTCCTGCCTCAACCTCTCAAGGTCTGAGATTACATGGGTGCACCATCACACCCCATTTAGATTGTGTTTGTTGATTATATACTCATATACTTTATAACACTTTTAATTTCTACATTATCATATATTACTAGAGTAGTGGACTCTTTCAGCCCACAGTAGGCACAGAGCTGTGTTTATTCATACGGATTGGATATCCCTTATCAAAAATGCTTGGGACCAGAAGAGTTTCAAATTTCATATTTATTTCAATTTCAGAATATCTACATATACACAGTATCGTGGGGATAGGACTCACATCAAAACAATAAATTCATTTTTGTTTCATGTACACCTTATTCCCATAGCCCAAGGTAATTTTATACAGTATTTGTGGTGCACCTGCATTTTGATTACAACTCATCATGTGAAGTTAGGTCTGAAATTTTCCATTTGTGGCATCATGTTGGCATTCATAGTTTGGGAACATTCTGGGAACATTTTAAAATTTTTGGATTAGGAGCAGTGAACCTGTATTGAAGGTGTACAGGTCTCCTGGGGCCTTGGCTGTGAGATTCCAAAGAGGTTCAGAGTGAGGTGCTGATCAGATGAGATCCTCAGTGTAGCCATTATCAACACCAACAAGAACTCTTAAGAGCCACCTGTTTGATCTCGAGTCTTAGAAACCTCACTGCTATGGACTTCAGTTGGTATTCTCATTAGAAATGCCAGGTGACTATGGAGACAGTCTTTTACCCACAAAACATCTCAAGAGTCTAAACAAAACCAGGCTGGATAAGACTTACGAAGAAAAGTCTAAACTGCACTGCTAATCAGTAGTTTGCATCAGGTTTAGAGCTGTCTATTGCATGAATTTTACTCTTGTAACTGACCAGTAGCCTTAATTTTTGGAGGGGGCCAGAGTCTCACTATATAGCCCAGTCTGGCCTTGCACTTGGATGATCCTCCTGCCTCAGCCTCTTGAGTAGCTAGGACTATAGGCATTTATCACCATGCTTGGCTAACCACATTTTCTGCTTTTATAGTTGGCCATACTATTTACTTCAAAGAAAAATTAACCTATCTATGGCCATCTACTGCAAGAGGCTGCAGACATCGTTAAGTGGTACTTTATAAAAGATAGTAAGTTATGTGACGCTTCTCTTTTTTTTTTTTTTTTTTTTTTTAATTTTATTTAAGGAGAAAAGAAAAAAAAAAGCAGAGAAAGGGTACAAGTTATACAGATTTGCAGAAAAAAAATGAACAGTAGGAAATCACTAGTTAATGAATTACATACTGTCATCTTAGAAATAATTGTTCAAGTCACAAAATTAAAGCTTGTAAAGTGGACATTCCATCAATGATACTGCAAACAGTTCTGTTCAATGATCCAATAAAACTGTGATATCATATTCTATCTTATACACTTAAATATACATGCAGTTATATAGCTTAGAGCACTTTCTTTTCCTCTCTTTTGTACAATGACTGTTACACATTTTGGGTTTCATTGCTCTCACGGTTCTTATTACTTTTTTGGAAGAGAGTAAAACCAAATGTGACATAACAGAACAGAATCGGTCAAGTCAAAAGGGTGGACATAATAGATAATGTGAAAACATAATACAAGGTGATCAACAATGGTTACCATAATGCCTCCCGCTATCTCTAATAGAATTGCCTATATCATTAGTTATAATACAATTGAACAAAACAGTAAAGAACAAAACCGACAAAGCCAAACCATTGGAGACATTGTAGGTCTTCAAAAGTAGATAAAAGTCAACGAGAATGGGCGTTATAATGAATCTCATTATCTTCACAGCTGATGCCTAAATTTTCGAACCTGATACTATCCAGCAAAACAGAATAGGGGAACATCAGTTAAAAACCAGATGGTGAGAGTAATACAGGGCTTTAAATCGAGGTAATGGAAAGTCAAAGTGGGTTACTATAATATATCCTGCTATTTTTTTCCTTTAATTAAAAGGATAAAAATTTTTTAAAAAGTATTAAAAAAGTAAATAATGGAGTGGAGATTGAGATAAAAGAGGGCATAACAACGAAACAGCACAGATCAAATCATAACCATTTAAGCAGAATAGTGTTTCACCACCAGATAATCCTGACCTAAAAGTAGTTACCATATTGTCTCTTTCCTTGAAATCCTTGAGTACAACTTCATATATTGTAGCATTAAGTATATCAAAACAATGTAAAACCATTTAAGAGAATGACAGCATTACAGAGTATTTAGAATCGACTAACAGAAAATGAATAATGGTTTCTGTATAATCTCCTTGTCTTTAAAAGGTTTTTGCTTATACTATTGTACATAATAAAATCCAGTACGATACAACCTATTTAGACCATTGGAGACAGAAGGACAAAAGCTAGATGAGACTTCAAAACAAGATGATACTAAATCAGTATTACCTATTAAGATGTCATTTTCTCCAAAATAGCTGTTCCTATCATCCAATCTTCTCTGCCTCATTTCTGTTGAGCTCTTATTCTGTCAGTAGCTGTCAGTTTGTCTTCTTCACTTTGTTCTCTGCTCCATTAGTCGTGGCCTCCACTATTTCTGGATTCTTTGTATTTTTTCTTTTTTTAGAATATCCTGCAATACTCTCTGTAGAGTTGAATTGGTGGTTGCAAATTCCCCCAGTTCCTCTTTATCCTGGAAGCACCTTGTTTTCCCATCAATTTCCAGGGACAGTTGTGCAGGATATCTCAATCTTGGCTGGAGATTATTATCTTTCAAAGCTTGAATTATTTCCCCCCACGCTCTTCGTGATTTGATGGTTTGTGCAGAGAAATCTGCTGTAATTCTGATGGGTGCTCCCTTGTAAGTGGTCTGTTTCTTGTCTCTGACAGCTTTTAATATTCTGTTCTTGTATTGAATTTCTGGAATTTTTATTATTATATGCCTGGGTGTTGCTCTGTTTGGGTTGTAGGTAGCTGGGGTCCTGTATGCCTCATACATCTGAGTATCTTTACCTTTTGCTAAATTAGGAAAATTCTCCTGGATTATTTCTGTGAGTAGCTTTTGTAGTTCATTTGTTTGTGTCCCTACTTCTTCTTTTATGTTCTTAATCCTTAAGTTATGGATCCTCTTATCATCTTCTTGTCTTTGTATTATTGCTGTTTGTTTCTTTGTTATTTTTAAGAAGTTTTTCATTTCATTCTCCCATATTACAATTCTGCCCTCCAGTTCAGATAGTCTGTCCTTAGTTTCTTTCAAGCTGTTATGCCAGTCTTCGATAGACTTCTTAGTTTCTTGGTAGCCCCTTTGAACCTGCTTCACGTATTCTATGCTTTCCCTGTTTTCTCCATCAAACAATTCTCCCCTCTTTTTCTGTTCTTCCATTCCACCATCTGTTTTTTCTTGGGTGGGGCTTAGCATTTCTCTAACTATTTTGCATACTTCTAGCTTCAGGTCGTTGATAACTTCATTCCTGAATTGGTCTATGAGGCTCTCTATATGGTGCTTTATGTGTATTGGTGCGGTGTCCGCTATTGCCTGTTTCTCAGAATTGGGGGCCGAGGAGCCTTTCTTGTTGCTGCTTCTTCCCATATTCTCTGTTCCTTATATATGCAAGCTTATATGAGAGGCCCAGCTTCTCTCCCTGTCAGCCACAGCCTGATCGAATTGCGCCGGTTAGGTGTTCCCACTCACCGCTGCACACCAGGCAGCCTACGCGGGGGCCCGCCCCTCCCGGCCTCCGTCAGGCTCTGCGATCTGGGTTGGGCCAGCCTACAGGGTCCGCTGGCAGCGTCACGCAGGCCAGGCACTTTTCACCAATCCCGCCCGAGAGGGGAATGTGTGGCTGGAGTCGCCAGCGCGCCCTGCTCCCGCAGGACTGCTCGGGCCCAGAAAGTCCGCTGGAGTCAAACTGTGGTGGAGTGTCAGTTTCTCTAACTCACCTCGCCACAAGTCAGAACATGCCTCCCTGCCTGTCCTGTTTTTGACTCCGTTCGCAGATTGCCGTTCTCAAAGCTTCTGCATCTCTCTCCTTGCCGAGCTGATGTAGAGGCAGCCAGCCACCGCGCAGCGGGAAACCCAAATCGCGGCTTCCAATGGCGCAGGGTCCAGCCTCAGCAGCGAGACTTTTCTGTTCCTGTTTTAGCACCAGGACTGCATTCCAAGTTGGTTTCTCTCAGCCGAGTTCGTTCCTGAGTCAGCAGAGCATAACTCCACCTGCTTATGTCTCTTTAGTCCGCACCATACCTGGCTTCTGAGCCTAGTTTTTCAGAGAGCCTCTGGTAGTTGCTGTTATCTGTCCGCCATGTTCTCCCGGAAGTCTGACGCTTCTCTTAAGAGCTTAGTTTTTGATAAGGCCAGGCAAGTAAGCCCATGGTGTTATTTCATTATTTTTCCCATTGAAATAATTTAAAGGGTTGCCATTGAAGAAACCTAAAAAACTGATTGAAATTTTGACTTTGTTGTATTTTTACACTGTGTTTCAGGCTATCTCTCGGCATACAAGGGAGCTGCTGGGAATTGAAGAGCCATTATTCAAGCGCAGCATCACACTTCCCTACAGAGACAATATTGGCTTATTTTTAGAACAAAAGAGTCATACCGGTGTTAAATCTGATTCCCTGACCTTCTCCGAATTTGTCAAAGCAGCAGGATTAGAGGACTATGCTCCATAAATAATCCCCTGAAGAGAATGAGACATTAAGTTGCACTCAGCTACAAAGGAGAAAAAAGTCATGTCACTTACCTTGAAACAGCAAACTAAATTACTTGGGGAAAGAGGTATTGTCCCCTTTGGGTTTTCTTTTTTTTTCCTTTTCAATAAAGATCAGAAAGAGGCTGGGCATGCTGGTTCATGCCTGTAATCCCAGAACTTGGGAGGCTGAGGCAGGAGAATTACTTCAAATTCAAGGCCAGCCTGGGCTACATAGTGAGTCCGAGACCAGTCTGAACCACATAGTGAGACCTGTCTCAAAAAAACAAAGAAAGAAAAAAGGATCACAGAACTGCTGGTTCCATTCCTAGTTCTTTTACTTATAACATTTTCCCATTATTTGTATTTTAGTTTAACCTTTTGTTAAAACAGAGTGCAATTCTTTTCTTTCTGGGTGATTGTAAGAATTACCAGTAAATCCTAATAATATACCTAGTGGTAGGAACATGTTGGAAAAATATAATTTAAAATAAAAATGCTTGCCACCCCGGATAATACTTTCTACAAATATAGAAGTCTTTTATTACTGAAGAAACATTAAACTGATGCATGCAGCAGGCAAGCTACTAAATAGATTACAAAGACAAAGCAATCTCCGTCTTTAAGTAGGCACATTCTACGCTTTACATACATAAGAATTATCAGTATCCAAAAGAAAAATAAAACTTCACATATCTTGTTGACAAACAAAAGTTATTACATGGAGCCAGGGCCCTAGCTAACCCCCCATAGAGAAAGAGAGACAGCACCATTTGCCCCACTGCCAAGTTTCCAAGGCCCCCCAGAAGATGGTCGGATAAAATTGGCAAGGGTCGTATAAAATTAGTTTTTTAAAAGATATAAATATATCTTCAAAACATCCACAGGATTTGCAATTATGTCTTCCAAAGAGAAGGGAGGAATTCAAGGAGCGGAAGTTCTCTTTAGTCATCAGAGGAAAAAAAAATATTTTGAAAAATTTGTGTATATGCTCTTTTTTTTTTTTTTTTTTTGTCTTTTTCCTTTTTATTGGTACGAACTCACGACTGTCTGCTTGCAAGGCAGGCGCTCATGCCACTGAGCTAAATCCCCAGCCCCCTGTGTATATACTCTTAAAAACAACATGACTTATTGAAATATCAATGACAGTGATTTAGGGTCTGGAGTTTGCCTGTGTCTTGGTTACTTTCAGTTGTTTATGAGACAAAATACCCAACACCCAGAGTTAAAGGAGAAAAGGTTTATTTATTTAGCTTACAGTTTGTAGAGGTTTCAGTTCATAGTCAGCTGACTCCAGACAAAGCGTCTGCTGGCTCCAAGGCAGGGTGTCATGGCCAAGGGGCATCGCAGAGGAGAAACAGTTCCTGGTGGGCAGAAGGTGGGAAGGCCATAGAACAGCGAGGTAGCGAGAGACCAAGCAGCAAGCAGCAACAGCAGCCCTCTTTCTGTGTCTTATATTCTATCCAGGCTATACATCATTAGGGCAGGTAGCATTCACATAATCTACATCCAGCACTATGCCAAACCAGCCAGTGGACTAACTTAGTAATCACACACTTTAATCCTAGCATCACCCACTCTAGATCTAGTCACCTCTGAAAAAGCTCCACCTATGACTGTGTGAGGCTTTGGGGGACAACTAGACACAACTCTTAACAGCTTATAAGCCTGTTACATGGTATATACAGCTTATAAAGCATTACATGGTAACTTCCAAGCTTTATAAAATGAAATTCAGGCTAGAGTCTACTCACGACTGGACTTTTCAAAAGAAATGATTGAATACTTCTTATTGTTTGAATGACCCCAGCTCCCCTCTAGTTTGCACTTTCTCACTTCTTAATCCAAATAACCCCTACAGGGCTAATTAATCCAAAGAACAATGATGTGCCTTATCTAGTCTCCTACACCTGAATAAATAGAAGAATTTTTTCCCTACTAAGAGAAGGAACAGTACATAAAGTTAATTTTCATGCCAAGCATTACTATTTGATGAACCCAATTTATCCGAAATTAAACTAAGAAGCCTTATCAGATACCATTCACATATCATACCTTTGAATTTGATTGGCTCATGATTATGAAAAACAATGTAAATGGTTACTGTAAGACCATGGTGATTTCCATGTATGGTAAGTTGTGTTGTTCAAAAGCACTTTAGCGTTTAGAAAACTGATTGTGTTCCATGACAGAGCACAGTGACATCTTTTCCTAGCTTGATAGGGTTATTGCTGTTTTCTACTTTTATTATGGTTGACAAAAAGTATTTGCAAAATATAAAGGAAATAAATCTTCATAATGTAAATCAGATCTATATTTTGCAAAATTCTTTTAGCCATTTAATATAAATGGCAGTTATTTTTTTAAGTTGGCTTTATGGTTTAAGTAGAAACAGCTTTAAATAAGAAAACACATATACTTGAAATAAGCATGGAACACGTCAATTAATATTGTTTACTGAACATTCTATCCAAAATGGGTAGAATTATCATTCCTTATCCAAAATGGTAGGAAAATCAAGCTGCAGTATCATTGGTCAGCTCTATACCACTCAGGAAAAAAGCTGAATTATATAATTTTCTAGTAATGGCATTGTAACCTCTTGCATTTAACTTAGAAGAGAAATAATTTGCATTAAGGCTCTTCTGGGGAAGCAGTTTATTAATGGGCATTAGGTTTATAGTTTGATTTGGTTGTTTCTGAAAACTAGACACACCCAAAAATGTTGATGCATAGGACCTCTTATTTATTCTACATTTGAAAGATCCACCAATACAATTTTCAAACACAACACATTCATGTTATTACTTGTCAATTGGGATAATCAGGACATAATCCCGGAGGACAAATCTGTGAGAAGAGAAAAAGAAATCCTCCTCATTCCTGAGATCTCTTACTGGGATGAAGAGTCCATGGAAACCACTGGCTTCTCTTTGTTGACTAGGGAGATGCCAAATGAATCACAGTATAGATGGGTAAGGTGATCTTGGAGAACAGTACTGCTTGAAAGACGCTGACTAAAGGGAGTTTCCTTGAGTTGCACATCAATCAGATCAAACCAGGGGAAAAGCCTGAAGTAGAAAAAAATTGTTATTTTTTTATCTATTCAATACATCTTATTTGGCTGCTAAATACATGATTGAGAAGGGACTCTCTGAAATTGAAAATATCCCAAGAGAAACTTCCATAGCCAAAAAGCAAAGCAAGTCAGAATAAGACTGAAAAATACAGAACACAATACCCAAGGACCGTGAAACAATCACAACAGGTGTGACATACATATAATAACCCTAGAGGAGAAGGAGGAAAGGAACAGTATTTGAAAGAACGGTTGGACATTTCCCCAAATCAAGGTCAGACACCAAACCAGGGATCCAGGAAGCAACTGAGAATATCAGCCAGGAAAAGTGCTAACAACAGCAACAATGAAAACCTACATCTAGATATGTTTAAACTAAAAAATCAAATATAAAGAAAAAGCCAGAAGAAAAAAAGACAGTGCCCATAGGGGAACAAAGATATGAATCAAACTGACTTCTGTTTAGAACACAAGTAAATATAATTAACTGCACTTTGACAAGGAGACAAAAGCAATACAATGAGAACGCACCGTTTTTGGCCAGGCGTGGTGGTGCATGACTTTATATAATCCTGGCACGCTGGAGGCTGAGGCAAAAGAATCACTGGGAGTTCAAGGCCAGCCTGGGCTACAGAGTGAGTTCAATCACAGCCTGAACTGCATAGTGAAACCTTGTCTCAAAAAGACAAAAAGAAAACAGCATTTTCAACAAATGATAATAGAACAGTTGGACATATACATGAGAAAAAAACTAATGTAGACACAGACCTTACATCCTTCACAAAAATGAATTTAAAATGTATCACTAATTTAAACTAGCATGGTGGTACACACCTGTAATTCCAGCATGAGGGAGGCTGAGGCAGGAGAACTACCATGATTTTGAGACCAGCTTGGGCTGCATACTGAGTTCAAGGCCAGCCTGTTACAAACTGAAATCCTGTTTCAAAAACCTAAAGAAGCTAAAAAAGAAAAACTCTACAAATGTAAATGTAAAATGTGTAATTATAAAACTCTCAAAAAATAATTGGAAAAAAATCTAGGCTCCCACTGGGTAATGAATTTTTAACTGTACTGTGAAACGTACGGTCCATAGAAGAAAGAAGTGATAAATAGGACTTAATTAAAATTACAGATTTCTGCTCCATGAAAGATACTGTCAAAAGAATGAAAATGTAAGTGATAAACTAGAAGAAAATATCTGCAAAAGATACATCTTTGTTATCCAAAATATACAAAGAACTCTTAAAACTGAACATAAAACTCTTAAAACAATATAAAAATGAAAAACTCAAAAATAAAAAGGCCTTGACAGTCACCTCACCAGAAAAGATGTACACATGGCAAATAAACATATTAAAAGTTCTTCAACATTATGCAGTTCCAAATTAAAACAACAATGAAACAAGTAGCCATTCCTACTAAAAGTGCCAGAATCCAAACCACTGACAACACTAAAAACTAGTAAGGATACAGAGCAACAGGAAATCTCTTTAATTGCTGATACTTCAAAAAAAAATGATACTTCAGAAGACAGTTTGGCAAGATTTTTTAAAAAATAAAATTACCATATGATTCAGCAATCAAACATGTTGGTATTTACTGAAATAAACCAAAAACATGTTTTCCCACAAAAACTTGCTCAACAATATTTATAGGAGCTTTATTCACAGTTATCAAAACTTGGAAACAAGCAAAATGTCCTTTAGTAGATAAATAGATAAACTGTGATAACAGAACCAGCAACAGTATTATTTGGCAGTAAACCAAAATGAACTATCAAGCTATCAGAAGACATGAAAGAAACTTAAATTCACATTATTAAGATAGAAGCCCATCTTAGAAGCCTACATATTCGTGATTCTAACTATATAGCCTTCTGGAAAAGGCAAACTATTGATATAGTAAAAAGATCAGGGGTTGCCAAGTGTTAGAGAGACAAGTGGAGAGAATATAGAGGATACAGCAGTGAAAATTCTCTGTGTGATAGGAGTATGGAAGACACAAATTGTCACATATTTTTCAACTCCTCATACATTTCTTCCCTAAAAGGTGAACCCTAATGTAAACTATGGGCTCAGAGTAATAATAATATATCAGTGTAGGTTTATGAATTTTAGCAGATACACCACTCCGGTGGGGGAGTGTTGATACAGGGGAAGGCTATGCATGCAGGGAAACAGGAAATCTCTCTGTCCTCCTCTCAGTTTTGTTATGAAATTAACTGCTCTTTAAAAAGCTATCTTTTTTAAATTTCAAAGTAGAGGGGAGATTCAATGAAAATATATTCCACAAAGATTATATAAGGGCTGGGGATTTAGCTCAGTGGCATAAGTGCCTGCCTGGCAAGCATGAGGTCATAAGTTTGATCCCCAGTACCGCAAAAAAAAAAAAAAAGATATTAAAATTGTGAACTTTTAGTTATCAGATGATATGGCTTCAAAGTTTTTTTGTTTTTGTTTTTTGAGATAAAGTCTTGCTCTGTAGTACAGGCTGGCCTTGAATTTACTAGGTAGCCTAGGCTGGCCTCTAACGCTCGGCAATCCTCCTGCCTCAGCCTCCTGGGTGCTGGGATGACAGGCGTTTACATCAAACCTGCTGGCTTCAAATTTTGTTGCCACTTTTTTTTTTTTAATTGGTACCGGGGATCAAACTCACAACCACGCACTTGCAAGGCAGGAGCTTATACTGCTGAGCTAAATCCCCAGTCCCTGGCTTCAAACTTTGTAAAAAAAGATGATTAAAAATATGGAATGAATTTGAGAAGCTACAGTCATAATGAAAATACTAATATTCCATTATCAATCTCTTTCTAAAAGACCATCTAACAAGATTTTAGCTTATTACTTTTCCAATTTTATATGCATAAGTATACATGGGATCTTGCAAAATGCAAATTCCCTACACATTTGTCTCAATAGCACATGGAACTTTCTCCAAAATAGGTCTACGAGCCCATATATCATGCTTAAATAAATATGAACAAATCAGAATTATCCCATATACCTTATAAGACTACAGTGCAATGAAATTAAAAATCAATGGCAAAAGACACCACAGAAATTATGCAAATACATGAACATTAATCAATATAGTTTTGAATAATCAGTGGGTCATAGAAGAAATCAAAGAAAAAAATCTGTTTTGAGAATCATGATAATGCCAGCACAATACACCAGAAAGTACAGGACACAATGAAAGCAGTCTTAAAAGGAAAGTTTATAGCTATGAATGCCCACATTGGAAAAATGCAACAAGCACAAATAAAAAACATAATGATACACCTCATGGTCCTAGAAAAGCAAGAACAATCCACATCCAAGACTGTACAAGAAAGGAAATTATAAGGCAAAGATCAAAGAAAATGAGACTAACAAATTCGATAGTATCAATGAACCAAGGAACTTGTTCTTTGAAAGAATAAAGACAATAGACAAATCCTTAGCTACTGTTACCAAAAAGAAAAAAGGAGCCATATCAGTGCAATTAGAAATGAAAAAGGCAAAAATCACAATGGATACCACCAAAATCCAGAAGACTATTAGTAATTACCTAAAAAACCTATACTTAAATAAATTGGAGAATCCAAAAGAAATGGACAGATTTGCACGTATATATAAATTACTAAAATTGAACCAAGAAGATACAGAAACTTTGAATAATCCAATAATAGGCCATGAATTGAGGCAGTAATAAAAACCCCAACAACTAAGAAAACCCCAAGGCCAGAATTTGAGGTGGGACAGAAAAATAGCTAACAAAGGAGAGGCCATAGAGATGGGGGGAAAATGAAGGGATGTGAACTGTCATAAAGGCTAAGAGAAGGGGCTGGGGATTTAGCTCAGTGGCATAAGCGCCTGCCTGGCAAGTATGAGGCTGTGACTTCGATCCTTAGTACAGCAAAGAAAAATAAAGAAATAAAGAAAGGCTCAGGGAAGAGACTGCCTCACTAAGGATGGCGTATTCGTTAGTCAAGGGAGAAAAGGAGTTAATGGAGTCCTGCACATCTACTGACGTGGAAGTCACTAGTAACAACAGCAACAACGTTTACATATTAGATTCCCGAAGACTCACAGGATTTAATTTTATAATTATCAATGTATAGAGAAATGGCACTTTCATGTTTGTGGAGATGATTTGAGAAGCAATTTGGGACTATATATTCTCTAATCCAGAAATTCTCCCACAGATTTAGTGCAAGAATATCTAAAGCAGCTTTTTGTGCAAAATTTGGAGCAGGGGAAAGAAACTACAACTTTATGAAGCGGAAATAGGAGGAATAAATTTAATTAAGTAAAAGTATCAAATCGACGTCTACACTCATAAATGAAGTAGATATAATTATACTAACATAGAATGATATCTATGTTATAGGATATAAAAAATCAGTATTGTAGTTCCCAGGTGTGTAGCACCATACATAGGAATCGATATGTATGTATGGCATAATGACAATATAAATATATATTTGTAAATGCATTGATAAGACAAAATAAAAAACTTTAAGAAGTAAAATTAATGAAATGGGGTATGGAAGGCAAAGGAGGCTTTACTTTTCCACTGGCTGAATTTTTGTAAAAGTGCATTATTTTATCAATTTTTTAGAGAATATGAAAGGATAAAACAAATAAAAGTCTGACCAGATGAGTCCTGGAGAAATCTGAATAGCCAGCTGTCTGTCGTCTTACCTTTTATGAAACATATTCTTCATGTAGACTGTGTTGACAAAATCTGCTAACTGAAATTTGGGGCAAGATGTTTCATCTGTTTTACAGCCTTCGTAGTGCACAGAAAGAAACACTTTATTCAGAAGCTGCAGCGCCTGTGAATGGGCCATGTTGCTTGCTGTACAGATGTTTAGGCATGCATAGAACACGCCCTCCAACCATTTGATATTAAGGGTTATTCCCCCTGAACATCAATGAAAAGATATTAACAATTAGCAGTAGGGAACATAGTTGCAGCAAACATAGAATAAACCCCAGCTAGTGAATAGAACCCATTTTTTGTCAACAAAGATTGGTAATATGGACCTCAAGATAAGCAAACACTCTCCCCTCCTAGGCCAACAGCTCTCTTTGCCCTTTGTAACACATAAGGTGTTGATTATACCAAAGAAGGACAGATGCCACTAAGTAGAGATTACTAATGGCAAAAGCTCCTCCAGAATGATCTTTGCCAATGAGGAAAAGGAACTCAGGCAACTGTGAAATTACAGCCATTTCATCCCTAGACATCACATTTGCCTGTTTAAATAAGCTGTTTTCTCTGCGTATTTCCAGTTCCTCCTCAAAGGATCAAATAATAAGCCCTCTCAACTCTTCCTAACAAAGGTTGTTCTTCCCACCATCGTCCTCATACCGAATCTAAATGGCTGAGGATGTGTCTAACTTGTGCTTCCTCACCCTTCCCCAACACACAGCATAGAGATCTAACAATATGGCAAAAAAAATCCCCACAAACAAACAATATGGCAACAGGACAAAAGGAAAATTTTAAAAGAACGCTAGAAATATAGTGAACTATTACCGGCAGGACTGTAAGGGCAGGTAGCCCGAAAAATCACAGGATCTCGGAGGGCAGCGGTAATTTCTTTATTGGCCCCCCAGATGTTGTCAAAATCCTCAGTACACTGATACTTAGGCCGCAAAATATTGGTGGTGTTCAGCAGTAGTTTCAACCTGGAAGCCACCAAGACAGGGCATGCAGACAGATGCTTCCTGCACAGCGCTGCTCAGAGGCAAAGCAGGTCTGGATCTGTGCTGAGGTCACAAATTAGTGAGATTGTTCATTCATCCACCTAACAAACCTTTACTGAATGTTGTAATGTGTCCAGCACTGGGATAGATACTAGTGTCTGGATAGACACTAGAACAAAAATAACACTGGACACAATTTCAGTAGTCTTTCAATGTGTTAACTGGTGGGTTCTCTTCTCACTAATACACAGAAGAATATTATTAATACTATATTAATAAGAATTAGAATTAATTAAGAATATTATTAATACTATACTATTAATACTATTATTAATACTATAATACACAGAAGTTAAACCTAAGCACCAGTTCATCCTAACAAGATACCTGGGGAGTGGGATGGCAGCTACGAAGCTGTACACCACGCAGGTGGTCTTAAGGCTGTTTTGAATTTCTAAGCAGATACGAGGCAGCTGAGATGGCACGCAGCAGAGGAATAGCACGTTGGCCCAAACAACCAGATAAGCATTATGGTAAAAGCACTGGACGCCCAGTTTCTGGAACTCAGCTGGGAAGGATAAGAAAGGAAGGAAAGAGCACAGTATAAAGGACTTTTACCTAAACATCAGCCACAGGGGAGATCACTGTTTTATCTCAATAAAGGAACCCAAGCCTTCTTGCCACATAACCCCGAAGACATTCCTGTCTGCCGTCTATAAGCTATGTCCTAACCCCATTACTGAGCAGGGGGCCACGGCAGCAGTGCTTGAGATTATGATGATTCACCTTTGGCTTAATTTTAGACCAAATGCTGAAATTGTTCAAGATTTTTAAGCAGGAAAAAAAATCTCTAAGAAACCTTTTGATTCAATTTAGTAAAGGGTTATCATGTACCAGATAATGTACAATGCCCTTCCTTACAGTAGACAGTAGAGACTGGGCAAAGTTTGGAAGGATTTCCTAGTTTCTGTGAAGTATATAAGTTAATGTTAATAAGTTTTTTTAATAAATGTAGGACAGTATACTAGGTATCGTGGTGCACATCTGAAATCTCAGTACAAAACAGAGGTGGGAGGGTTGTAAGTTTCAACCCAGCCTGGGAAACTTAGTGATCTACCAAAACAAAAAACAAAACAGGCACTGAGCTTTACCCCTCTTATACTAAAGAAAAAATAAACCAAAGTATATGGTTCCATTAATAAAATTCTAGAATATAAAAACAAATCTAGGGGCCAGGAATTTAGCTCAGTGGTTCAAGCGCTTACCTGGTAAGTACAAATTTGTGAACTTGATCCCCAGTACCAAAAATCAATCAATCAATTAATTAATGACAAACAAAACAAATCTATAGTGACAGAAATCATTGTCACTGGTTTCTTGAGCAGGGAACTGAAGAGAGATAGAGAAATAAGTATCATAAAGACAAAAGGCAACTTTTCAGCTTTGACTGCATCCATGGGTGTACATGTGTCAAAACTCCAAATTGTACAGTTGGTGTACAGCTTATTGAATCTAAGTATTATCTTAATAATGCTATTCCTATTTGGGTGTTGTTAGTTTTTAAGACAGGGTCTTGTTATGTAGTTCAAGCTGATTTTGAACTCAAAAGATAGCCTAGGCTAACCTCAAACTTGCAGCAAGCCTCCTGCCTCAGCCTCCAGTGCTGGGATTAACAGGTGTGTGCCACCGAGCTTTGTGCTACCATGCCTGGCCTACATCCATACTTTGAAAAGCTGTGCAATCTCAAAATCATTTATTACGTTAAATTTGATTTCTTTACTGATGTAAATAAGTTTTAAATCTTGAGTGGGGAAAACAAAAAAACCAAAGGAAAATGGTGTGGATCACCCAGCCAGACACACAGCGCAGAGCTGACAGATGCAGCATATCTGCGTTGCAGGCAGCACCACGTGAGTGTGCCCAGAGCTGGTGGAACAATGGGAGGGCTTAAAAAATCACTACTTCAAGAATGTTAAAGATATGGGAATAAGCTTGTAAAACATTAAATGGAAAAATCAGGATACAACTTTGGGTGTGGTGACTCACACCTGTCATCCCAGCACTCAAGAGGCTGAGGCAGAAGGATCACTGAGAGTTTGACGCCAGTCTGGAATACAGAGTGAGTTCAAGGCCAGCCTGAACCACATAATGAGACCCAGTGTCCCCCCCACACACACAATTAAAGCTGTCTTTCCACTTTTTCCCAGAACTAGCAAGCTCAGAACTCTGCATGCTGCATACAAGGACTCCTTTATAAGCGAGCCTTTCAAAATGGGATGGGGATTTAGCTCAGCGGCATAAGCGCCTGCCTGGCAAGCACGAAGTCGCCAGTTTGATTTCAGATACTCTTCCCCCAAAAAAGGGCTTCGTCAACGCGGCACACCAGTCCTCACTCAAGCATTCGGGCCTCCGCGTGGAGATGCGCAGGCTCTCAGCGGGGACCGGGCCGAGCTGCAGCAGCGCGCTGGTCAGCTGCTTCCCGAGGTGGCCGCCTCCGATGATGCCCACTTTCAACTTCTCTTCCTCAACAGCGGCCAAGTCAGCCGAATCACCTGTCAGTGATGTGGAATCTTGATTCTCATGTATTAGTTCTCTGAAGAATGAACAAACACACTGATACATACCTGCTCACACGGCAGCTCTTCTGCCAACTTCTGATGTTCATTACGTTAATTTTCTCAAATAGGAGCCTGGTGGCACCTTAAGTAACTCAGAGACGTGGGGTCTCAATTGTGTGCCATTTACCCAGTCTCTTAGGCAATGAAATTTCCTAAAAAGTAAACCACACCCATTTTTCAAGGGACCAAAACGGGCTCAAAATACTACTGTATATCTTTTTGTTACATGTACTATGCAAGCTCCTGCTTGCTTAGAAACAAGGCCTGAGTAAGTATCATGTCACTGACTTCGGGCCATTGTCCTATGCCACACTGTGTAACCATTTCCTTTATGTGATTGTTCATTTGTTTTGTTTTCTAGGCAGAGAGCTGTTGCCATTTTTATCATGGTTAGAAACTAAGACAAAAAAAGCACCTAGCATAAAATTTACTACCTTAACGATTTTAACTTTATTGTGCATCTGGAACCTTTTCATCTTGGAAAGCTGAAATTCCACATCCACTAAACACCTCATTTCCCTTCTCCCAACCCCTGGAAATTACCATATTTTTTTCTTTTTCCTGTTTAGCTACTTTGGATACCTCATACAAGTAAGATCAGGCAGTACTTATGATTTGTAGCTGCATTATTTCACTTAGCATGTCTTCAAGCTACATCCGCGTTGCAGCATACCAGAGAATTTCCTTCTTTTTAAAGGCTAAATAATACCCTATTATGTGTATACAATACAATTTCTTTATTCATCACCAGTGGATGTCTAGGTGTTTCTGCATCTTGGCTATTAGGAATGCTGTGATGAACATGGGTATGCAAATATCTCTTTGAGAACCTGTTTTTAATTCTTTAGGATATACACCCAGAAACACAATTTCTGTATCATATGGCAACTGTGTTTTTAATTTTTTGAGGAATTTACAAATTGTTTTCCACAGTAGCTATACAACCTTACATTCTTACCAATCATGTACAAGGATTCCCATCTGGTTTTCTAATAGTGGTCATTCTAACAACAACAAGATGATATTTTAGCTGGGTGTAGTGGTATATATCTATAATCCAACACTTGGGAGTCTGAGGCAGGAAGTTTGAGGCCAACCTGGCCTACATAGTGAGTTCAAATTCAACCTGAACTACATAGTAAGACACTGTCTCAAAAACAAAACAAAAAGGGGTGATATGTCATTGTGGTTTTTATTTGCATATTACTGATGATTAATAATGTTTTCATGAGTCCGGAAGAACATGGTAGATAGATAGTGGCAGCCTCAGAGGCTCTCTGAGAAACCGCACTTGAAATCCAGGAATTGTGCTGGGCAGGAAGTCCTAGGCGAGGGGGGATATTCTTTGCCGACCCAGGAATGAACTAAATTAAGAGAAACCAACTAGAAACACAATCCTGGTGATACAGCAGGAACAGATAAGGTCTCAGCACAGAAGCTGGACCTTGCGCCACTGGAAACTTTGATCTGAATTTCCTGCAGCCCCTGTTGTGTCCTGGTCAGCACTGTGCGGAGAGAGGCACAAAAGCTCAGAGAGTGGGAAGCATTGAATGGAGTTGGGAGCAGGGCTGGCCGGGTGCCCTGCAATGACCTGCGGTGAGTGAGCGGATCGGGACCCTTCCATAGAGAAGGAGGCTTCAGCGGAGGACATACTCGGACTGGGCAGACTGCCTGGAACAGATGCTGTAGTGACTTCAGTCACATATCCCCCTCTCAAGTGGGATTGGTGGGGAGTGCCTGCCCTGCAAGACACCACTGGCTGAGACCCAGTAGGCTAGCCCAACCCAGGTCCCAGCGCCTGGAGGTGCACCCTAGCGGTGAAGCCTTCAGTAGGTTAACCTGGAGGGGCAGGCCCGGCATAGATTGCCCAGGTCTGTGTCTCCCTGGGGTGCTGCGGTGGGCGGGGACACCTAGCCGGCGCAATTCAAACAGACTGTGGCCAACAGGGAAGGAAGCTGGGCCTCCTATATACACTTATATATAAGGAACAAAGAATATGGGAAGAGGGAGCAACAAGAAAAGGTCCTCGGCCCCCAATCCTGAGAAACATGCAATAGCAGACATGGCACCAATAGACATAAAGCGCTATCTCCGGAGTCTCATAGACGAGTTCAGGAATGAAGTTATTAATGACCTGAAGCAAGACATAAGCAGAATAGGTAGAGAAATGCTAAGCACTGCCCAAGAAAAAACAGATGGTAGAATGGAAGAACAGAAAAAAAGGGGAGAATTGTTTGATGGAGAAAATAGAGAAAGCATAGAATACATGAAGCAGGTTCAAAGAGATTACCAGGAAACTAAAAACATATCGAAAACTGGCATAACAGCTTGAAAGAAACTAAGGACAGATTATCTGAACTGGAGGGCAGATTTGTAATATGGGAGCATGAAATGAAAAACTTCTTAAAAATAACAAAAAAACCCCAGCAATAATACAAAAGCTAGAAGATGATAAGAGGATCTATAATTTAAGAATTAAGAACATAAAGAGAAGAAGTGGGAACACAAATGGACTACAAAAGCTATTCACAGAAATAATCCAAGAGAATTTCCCTAATTTAGCAAAAGGTAAAGATACTCAGATATATGAGGCATACAGGACTCCAGCCACCTACAACCCAAACAGAGCTACACCCAGGCATATAATAATCAAAATTCCAGAAATCCAATATAAGAACAGAATATTAAAAGCCATCAGAGACAAGAAACAGATCACTTACAAGGGAACACCCATCAGAATTACAGCAGACTTCTCGGCACAAACCATCAAATCACAAAGAGCGTGGGGGGAAATAATTCAAGCTTTGAAAGATAATAACCACCAGCCAAGATTGATATATCCTGCACAACTGTCCCTAGAAATTGATGGAAAAATAAGGTGCTTCCAGGATAAAGAGGAACTAGGGGAATTTGCAACCACTAATTCAATGCTACAGAGAATACTGCAGGATATTCTAAAAAAGAAAAATACAAAGAATCCAGAAATAGTGGCAGAGAGGCCACAATGAATGGAGCAGAAAACAAAATGAAGAAGACAAACTGACAACTAATGACAGAAAAAGAGCTCAACAGAAATGAGGCAGAGAAGATCGGAAGGTAGAAACAGCTGTTTTGGAGAGGATGGGACATCATAGTAGCTAGTGCTGATTTGGTAATCATCTTGTTTTGAAGTCCCATCAAACTTGTATTCTTCTGTCTTCATCAGTCTTAAAAGGTTGTATCTTATTGGATTTTATTATATATGATAATATAAGCAAAAACTTTTATAGACAAGGAGTTTATATAGAAACCATTGTTCATTTTCTGTTAATTGGTCCTAAATACCCTGTAATGATGTCATTCTCTTGAATGGTTTTATAGTGTCTTGGTGTGTTTGGTGCTACAATGTACGAAGTTGTACTCAGGGATTTCAGGGAAAGAGACACTATGGTAACTATTTTTATGTCAGGATATCTTGTGGTGAAACACTATTTTGCTCAGGTGGTTGTGATTTGACCTGCACTGTTCTGTTATGCCCTCTTTTATATCAATCCCTTTTTCTGAATTATTTACTTTTTTCTTTTTATTTTTTTAATTAAGGGAAAAATAAATAAAAAAATAGCAGGATACATTATAGTAACCTACTTTGATTTCCTATTAACTTGATTTGAAATCCTGTATTGCCCTCACCATCTTGTTTTGACTGATTTTCCTCTCTTCTGCTTTGCTTGATAGTACCAAGTTCGAAAGTATAGACAAGACAGTAAGAATCATTATGACGCCCATTCCGGTTGACTATTATTTTCTTTTAAAATCCTGTAATGTCTCCAATGCTTTAGCTTTATTCTTTACTGTTTAGTTCAATTTTTTATAACTGCCAATTCTTCTTAAAATAGCAAGAGGCAGTATGGTAACCATTGTTGATCACCTTATATTTTGTTTTTACATTATCTATTATGTCCATCCTTTTGATTTGACTGACTCTTTTCTGTTATGTCACATTTGGTTTTACTCTCTTCAAAAAAAGTAATAAGAACTGTGGGAGTAATAAAACCCAAAATGTGTAATTGTCATTGTACAAAAGAAAGAAAAAGAAAGTGCTCTAAAGGTTATAACTGCATAAGTGTATAAGATAGACAACCATATTACTGAGTGTTTTTTGGATCATTGAACAAAACTGTTTGCACTCTCACTGTTTGAAAGTCCACTTTATATGCTTCAATAATGTAACTTGAACAACTATTTCTAAGATGAGAATATGTAATCTATTAACTAGTGATTTCTTACTGTTTATTTTTTAAATTTTGTATCACTTGTACCCTTTTTCTGTTTTTTTTTTTTCCTTTTTCTCCTTAAATTAAAAAAAATAATGTGTTCATATACTTGTTGGCCTTTTCTATATATTCCTTGAAGAACAGTCAAAGTATTGTGACAGGGTCTCACTATGTAGTTCAGGCTGGCCTTAAACTCACTGTGTAGCCCAGCCTGGCCTAAAACATGTGGGGATCCTCCTCTTTCAGCTTTCTGAGTATTAGGGTTACAGGTGTGCACCACTATGCCCTGATGAAGTACCATTTTCAAAGTTGAGTTATTTGGTTTGGTACTGAGTTGTAGGAGGTCTTTATATATACTGGATGTTAACTCCTTATTGTATATGGTATGTAAATGTTTTCTCCTAGTCCCTAGGTTGTTTTATACTGTTGTTTCCTTTGATACACAAAAGCTTTTAAGTTTAATGTAACCCTATTTGTATATTTTTGCTTCTGTTGCATGTTTTTGGAGTATTTGTGAAATCAAGCCAAATCCAATGTCATGTAGTTTTCTCCCTATATTTTCTACTAAGAATTGTGCATTCTTAAGTCTTAGATCTTTCGTGCCTTTGGAGTTGACTTTTGTATGTGGTGCAAGCTAAGAGACCGGCTTCATTCTTTCAGATATACAAATCCTGTTTTTCTAAGGCCATCTGTTGAGGTGACTACCCTTTTCTCCATTGTGT